TTAGATCTCAGAGGGTTTTAGACCAGGAGTGACATGTTTTAAGAAAACTAATTTGGTAGCTGCATGCAGAATGGTTTAGAAATTGGAGAAGAGGAGACAATTAGGAGATGATTATAATTACTGTTACAGGAAGATAACATTTTGTAACTTTCAGATTGGCAAAGATCTAAAAACTTGATAGCATAATATGTCAATAAGCATGTGGAGAAATAGCATTCTCAGACATTGCTAGAGAGGGTATAAATTCTCTGGGAGGCAATTTGATGAGATCTATCAATATTATTATAAATGTTCATAACCTATTGGTCAAGCAATTCCACTTCTAGGTACTTAGACTATAGATAATATTGTATACATACTAAATCATTTATGTATAAAGATATTCATTATAGCATTTTCCTAATGGTTAAAGATTGGAAACAACCAAAAGGTTCATCACAGACTAGTTAAATAAGTATGGCACTTTCCATATAACAGAATACTATGCAGCAGTTAAAGAGAATGAGAGGACTCTGCGTACTTATGTGGGAAGATCCCCAAAACACAGCAGGTTCTCGAATAACGTCATTTCATTCAGTGTTGTTTCATTATCACATTGCTGAGATGCGTAGGAACTTAACTCTAGTTTATATTAATTAGCCTATGGTAAAACTAGTTTCATTATACATCATTTTGCTTACGGTAGCAGAACCTATCGATGACATTAAGTGTGGATTTACTATAATGCTAATGACAAAGGTGCCTAATAGTATATATAGCATGCTTCTATTTGACTGGAAGGATAAAAAGATATATTGCCCATAAGTTTGTAAATGCATAGACCAGAAGAATACCAAGGAAACAGAGAAAGGATAGTGGTTTTCCAAAGAGAACTGAATGGCTGGGATCAAAGGAAGGAGGGAGATTTACCATTTTTCCAATCTTTTGTACCTGTGGGAGAATTATCTGTTTTTAAAAAGTCCCTTGCCCTATCATCTTAGAATCAAAACTCTACCTTGATATCATTTCTAAAAATTAGATTATGGACAGCTTTCTTGGTGAAATAAACACAAATGAAAGCTATAAAACTAAAAAAAAAAATCTTTATAATAAAGTACTTGAATGGCTGAACAGAATGTTAAGCTTGGTTACCAGGTGAGCAAAATGCCTTGAGTTGTCTTGCTTGGCATTGTTAGTTATTAAAGTTCAGAGTAAGTACAGTATCTGAAAAGTTGGAATTCAGGCCTTTGAATAACTACTTCCAACACTTCCTTCTGTGACTCCATTGCTCTGAGTAGATAGGTAGTGGGCAGGGATATCATCCAGGAAATTCGGACCCTGGATTGGTGATAGATATAGATGCTTTACTCAAGGTCACTTCTAACCTGGAGAGGTTAGGATAACCTCTCTGATAGGGCATTACTTTATCAGAGTCCTCAGAATTTCTCCATTGTGATTGTTCTCTTATTCATCTGATCTTCAACTAGATGTAACCTCTATAAAGGAAGAACACACACTTTCTTTGATTACCATTGTGTTTTTAGCAATCAGCACTAAACAGGTGCATAGTAAATATTCAAATATTTGTTCAGTTAAATTGAGCAAGGATTTCTGTGTCATATTGTCCCTGCCCTTCTTGAAACTTAAAGGTGGGTAAATAATTGACCCTCATCTTAATTGTAACGACCAACTTATTTTTTTTATAAGAAAATAATCAAATTGTGTGACTAAGTTTTTGAGTTGGTGATAAGACTTTTGAGTTAAATGCAATTTAGTTGTCCAATTTCTGTGGTACTAGATGTTTATAAAACATTGTATTATCAAGTAACATTCATCATGGAGTGTTGAATCTTTACATCTTGCTGTTTTTGTTCATTTCTCCCTGATTAAGAAAATTAAAACTAATTTTTTTCAATAACTACTCTTGCATTGTACTCAGAACTTCAGTATTAGAATTTACAAAAAAAAATGGCCGTTTCTCTTATTCTTATGGGGTTGAGACTCTGGAGTGATACTCTATAATTATGTAATACTAAACTGTACACTAAACTGTTTAATATAGCTGTTCATAAATGAAGTTTAATAAACTGATTGCTTGACTAATGTGCTATTTTATTGCTTTTCCAGAGTTAATTTTGATGAAAACATATGGTCATTACACTTATTGGTGCAATAGGCCCTCATCATAATGACCATTATCATTAGATTTGCATAATAAAAACTTGCTGAAATTAATCAATGTTTTTAATTCACGGATGTGACTTTAACATAGGTTTGGGTTGGTTTTGGGTCTTTTGGTTAAAAAAAAATCCATTGCAGTTTAAGTTTAGGGAAAAAATAATAAGGTCTAATTTTCTGAAATGGCAGAAAGACTTGAATGGACAGAATGAATGGGCAAGACCTGCTGAGGATAAAACTGACATGATTTGGAAGTCTAATGTTACAAATTGGCTAGCTCAGGGACCAGATGTAGACGGCAGAAAAGTTTTGCTTGGCTCGTACAATGTTTTGAAAATGCCTGCATTTATCTGCCAAGTCATCTGGTCCCCTACGCCCTATTGACTTATTTCCAGCAGCCCTACTGATTTTACCTGCTTGGCCCTGGTAAGCATTGAATGCCTGGAGAATTAATTCATTAAATGAAACATGGAACTTGGGAGAGAAAGAGGTGAAAATGGGAGACTGTAAGAATATATGGAATTTGAAAGGTAGGTGAGCCCACTGAGGGTGGCGGCTGGGGATACAGATACAGGACTGTGTACACAGGTTGAGATTTGAGATTCTGGAGAGACCAAATATAAGCAGCCAAAGGCAAAACTTTGAGTATCTCTCATATTTAAGGGCTTTCCAATGAAGAAAGAGGTTGTCATAAGAGAAACAGGGTAATTAAAATTATGGAGTTCAATGAAAGAGAAGACTTTAAGAGTAAGGTAGTAAACCACACCCAGAGTGAAAAGGTAAGGATGAAGGAGGGAAGGAGCTATTGGATTTGGAGCTCAGGTTGCTGATACCATCAAAGAGACTGGTTCAGCAAAGAGATAAAATTACAGGCTTAAAGAGAGAGTAGATGTAGATACAGGTGGACACAGCTAATCTTTTAAGATGGCTGACAGGAGAGGGAAGGAGCTGGAACATCATTCAGTGATACGTAGGATGGATATCTCAGGATCTGGTGTTTTGAAAGAGAAAGAAAAAGACCAATGGAAAGGGAGCAAGATCCATAGGAGGTAGAAGGGGATGGGCACAGGTGGAAGAGGTACCTCTGGGCAGGAGATATGCCTTAAGCAAGAACACCAGTACAGATGGAAATTTTTTCTAATATTGAAGGGTTAAAGGGTTGGATGGCCTATAACATGTTAGGTAAGATTGGCAATTACAGGCATGAAATTGTGAGCTTTAGGAAAGTAAATGGTCTACAGCCATGCCACCCTGAACGTTCCCAATCTCGTCTGATCTTGGAAGCTAAGCAGGGTTGGACCTGGTTAGTACTTGGATGGGAGACCACCTGGGAATACCTGGTGCCGTAGTTGGCATAAGTAATGTGGAGAGGGCCATTCAGGAAGGCAGGACAGGATTGCTGAGCAGGGAGGAAAGTTCAGCTGAGATTAGCAAGCAAGTATTAACTATGGTTCAAAGTGCCATGATTTCGTGACTTCGTTATCTACTACAAACTCCATGTTTGCAAAAGCTTCAAGGGGTTTTACTGTTTTAGATGTAAATAGTTACCTTTCCAGTAAAAATAATTATTCCATACTTATCAATTACAAACCCATTAGTGCTACAAGCATGGTTTTTCCTGGGGTGCACTTGGTGTTAAACTATCAGTCTTCAGGGGGATAGCCTTAGGACACCAGTCACTTTCTAATTTGAAGAAATGGTTGAGAATTTCACTACATTTTCTTTTATTATCAGGATTGTTTTTCCTAAACAATTGAACCCCCCCACCCCCACCCCAGTGTCTTCTTTGTGGATGTTGCAAAATTGTGAAGCTAATCAGGACCCTTTTTCAAGTCAGCTAATAGTTGAGGAAAAAACAATTTTGGATTTACCTCTGGCTACGGGAACAGAACTTGGTAGGCTACATTTTTATTGGCCTCATTTCTGCCTCCAATTTGTGCCTTTGCTCTGCTCCTCTTTCTTATTCGTTTTTGTTTTCTTGTTACACTTCACATATCCTAGAAACCACTTTAAATTCTTTTTGAAACCAGATAGAACATATAAATATTTAACACATAAGTACTTAAGGTACTTCAAGCAGGTTAATACTTGTGGCAATTAAATAAAAAGTGTGCCTGCAGTTACAAGGCCATGAGACCCAAAAAATCTTTTTGAAAATCTTACAACTCTCCATTTAAGAACAATGGATTAGGTATAGAGCAGAAAGCCAAATTTGTAACCATAGAGAATTATATTGCCAAATGTATGGAAAAATTAAGACTCAGGTAGATGTTTGCCTCAATTCTTTTTGTATGAGGACATATAGCATAATTATGCCCGAGAATTTAAGAGCAATTTGCCTTCTTTAATTTGGACGCTTTCAATGCAATTAACACTATTCAAAATCACTATCTTGTAATGGTTAAGAAGATGGGCTCAGGAGCCAGACTACTTGGTTTCAAATCCCAGTCTAAGAGCATGTGTGACCTCGGGCAACATACTTCACTGTTTCTTCACTAGAAAAATAGTGCTAACAAAACGTACTTCATAAGACATGAGGATTTAATAAGTGTAAGGTGCTTAAAACAGTGTCTATGCACCATTTAAGTGCATGAAAAATTGGTAGCTATAATTATTTTGGCTTTACACTTGGGAAGACTCATGAGCCACTTGGGGTCCAAGCCAAAATTTTGGACCCAAACAAGTGATGACTAGAACTGCATTCCAGAAGCCCAAGCCAATGTGCAGCCGAAGATCAAAGAGGAGCCTTTCCAGCACAATGCTGAGAAATACCTAAGGAAATCCAAACTTCAATTCAAGAAAGCTCTCAGTTAATGGTACTCTGCACAGGTCTGATACCACAATTCCACATTAATTGGCTCCTACTAGAGCCCTACTGAATTCATTTATTAAAATAACAAATATTTATTGAAAGCCTGCTTTATCATGCAGTAAGTTTTAAATACCACACATCAAAAAAACCAAAGCACAACCACACCCTTTCCCCCTTATGGCCTCAAAACATCGTTGTTAAATAATAGCTCCTAGACATTACCAAAATAGCAAAAACGCTTTAAAGTGTTAGACCGGTCATAAATTTAATGGAAATCACAAATATGAGCCTATAGCAATTTTAAGTCTTAAATACTGAAAACATAGTGTGACGGCACTAAGTAAGTAAACTTTAGGGTCCCATTAGTTGGAGTCAGTCCCACATGGGAAGAATTTGGTAGGAGTTAAGATTAACAACTGCTTAGTCCCACTGGATCATTCGCTCTTCTTCAGGAAGAATACTCCAGTTAGGGGAAGCCACACCCCGGGCCAGCCAGTTGAAATCGTCAACGTCGTTCCAGTTATTTTTGCTCCTATCTAAACCAGAGCCCTCAAAGTCTTTGTCAATTCCCGGGTAGCTCCAGGTGTAAGGGGCGAACTGGATCCCGCTGCAGTCCTCCACGATGGCCCTGCTGGTCACCTGCAGGAAGATGCGGGTGTCTCTCGTGGTGTGTACGCGGAGCTGTTGGCAGGCCACAGCCAAGACGCACTCACTGCAGTCCTCCAGGAACACAGAGGTGGACACCGGGCCGCAGAGCACCGTGCAGTTGCGGGCCTTGGTCAGCCGCAGGGTGTTGGGATTGCCATACAATTTGATTGTGCAGTTGCTCAGTTCGGTCAAAAGGACGTCTCGCTGGTGCAGCTCCTCTGCTCTCTTCTCCAAGACTTGGGACTTCAGGTTGGAGAAACCGCAGACCCAGCTAGAGCTGAAGCCTCCCTCCTCCTTCAATGGCGGCGGGGAGGCCAGGATGCCTTCCGCCGCAGGGGCGCCAGGAGCCGCATCTACTTTGGTGGCTGGAGCAGCGTCTTTCCTCCGAGTCCTGAAAGCGAAACGCTTCTTGGGCTGCAGTTGCTGGCGCCGGTCGGCCAGGGTCGCCTGTAACCGCGCCAGCGCCTCTTGTCCCTGCCGCACGTCGTAGGCGGCGAGAAACAAAACCGAGTCGTTGAGAAGTTTCTGCAGCCCCTGGAGCCGAGTGGCCGCCTCTTCCAGCCGCTCGACAGACTCCCCGCCCTCCAGAAGCTCTTCCACGGCGACTCGCTCCCGAGCGAAGGCGGCGGAGAAAAAGTCGCTCTTCTCCTCCTCCACCTCCTGGTTCTGCCGCTTTTGCTTCCGCCTTTCCACCTCCAGTTGCCGTTCTTGCTCTCGTTTCTGAAGCCGCTCAGGCACCAGGCTCCGGTCCCGCTGGGACCCCATGTTCCCGTTCCCCACCGCAGTAACAGAGCAACTGGCAGTCTCCATCTTGACAGCAAGCTTCCTTTCTCCTGCCTTCCTTCTTCTGGGCGCGCCCACCGTGAGGCCTCCCACCAACGCGTCCTGTGATTGGCCGGCCACGCTGACGTCAAAACCCCTCCCCATTTGCTTCGCCCATTGGTTCCTCCGCATCGGAGGGGCGGGAATATGGGGAGGGGTCGACTGACAAAGGGGGTGGAGAGACAAAGGTCCTTGTGGATGGGTGGGGTGGGAGGAAGGCGGGGGAAGCTTTTTTTCCTCTTAAAGGGGCAGGACTTATATCCGGGATTGTGGGGTGAGTTGCAGCAGCGGTAGCTGCACATGTGGGTTTGTTTATAAGAACAAGGTTAGAAACTCGCAGGCCTCCCCCTCCCCCCCAGCTCCTCCTTACTACCCCTTTACAGCCCAGAGATCTGCTTCTGGTGGGGGGAATGTGTGCTTGTGGTGGGTGGGGGGACAGGTAGTGGTGAGGAAGATGGAGGGGGGGTTTATTGCACCGCCCGGCCCGCGCCGGAGGAAGCGGCAGCTGGAACAGCTGGCTAGGGAGCCGCTTGCATGCCTCTGGTTTTTTCTCTTCTTTTCCACCACCCCTTCCCCCAACCCATTCCTGCCGCCCCAAAACCCTTATCCTACCCGCCCCCTCCCCCCTCAGCCACTGCAATTCGGCGTGGCCTGGGGCTCTTGGATCCCCGCAAGCAGTTACCGGGGCGGGAGAGAGCGAGGGGCACCGGGATGGGAGAGACCGGGTTCTTCACTGCAGCGGGGTTCAAGGGGCCCTGGGGAAGCCTAGAAACGGATTACTATTTATTTATTTATTTTGCCGATTGCTGCAGTCGGCGGGGTGGGGGCGGGGGGGTGAAATTCCACACCCCCTTCCTCTTCCTCCCACGTCCTCCCCCACCCTTCGCTGTCACTCCCTCCGCAGCTGAGTGCCCGCTCGCCGCACCGGGGTGAGACCCCAGCCCCGGGCTCTGCGGCTCTCGGTGGGGCCCTGGGTCTTTAGGAAAGCGATGGGGGAGATGTTACATTTTGTCCAGAGGTGGTGGGAGGGATTTGTCACCGGAAGTGAATGAGCCTAATCTGAAGTCGGGACCAGCCCGAGGTGTGAGTGGGCAGCCAGGACTACGCAGTCCTAGAAAAACCCAGGGCAGCGCGGGCCGCTGAGAACCGGGACGCGGTCCCTGCTTACGCGCGCGGCGACCTCGCGTGCTCAGTGCAGGTCGGCGGAGCGCCGGGGCCTCTATGACCTGGCCCGCCCTTCCAGTCTTGGGTTTCATCCTTATCTCCACCCCCGTTCCCGGCCCCCATCGTTTTTTAATTGGGGTATTTAACTGCCTGAGAAACTGTCACTTGAGATTTCTATAATATGCCTGCATTTTCATGCAGACGAAGATGGGAGGAAAGAATTAAGATTCATCTCTCCAGTCCTTCACACCCCACTTTCTCCATTTCCATTTAAAACAAAAACAAAACAAATTTCTGTATTTCACTGAAAAGTTAGCACAGGTCACGACATTTGACAAATGTCGCGCGGGGGTTGAGGGTGTGTTGTGTGTGTACGTGCACATGATGGAAGTGGGGGTACTGAAAATTCTTGTGCGTGTGCTTGTAGTATACTTCGTTTTCGTTTGCTTTGTTTCATGAGCAAGCTAGGTGAGGCTTTTAGGTTTTGTGAGGTATAGTTCTCACACTGGTGAATGAAATGTAGCTGGTTATCTTGTCTAAGTCATATGGAGGAATGCGAAAGCTGCTTTGTTTTATGAAGAGTTGATTTAACCAAGGAAGGTTTAAAGAAGATTTATTTTGCTAGGAGAAAAAAAATCCTGACCTTCTCTTAAGTTTTTCAGTAATTGGATTTGTCTCACAAAAATTAATAAAGTTTGTAGCCAAATAAGGTTTGTTGGACTTGGAAGTTACAGCTGGGGTCAGGCAACATTTCTGTATTAGTCTAGTGAATCTATAAGTGGTTGTTAGTGTTGTCTATATCAGAAGTGCAATTAAATGTCATTAAACCCTTTCAAGGATTTCGTTTCTGCCCAACAACAGGTTTTAGCATACAGTCCAGTAGACTTTGTAAGTTTCCGAATATTTTAAGTTGGCTAGTTTCAAATTTTTATGAGAAAGAAGCAGTGAAGGACAAAAATGAACAGGTCACAAGGCTGACCCAGTGTGTTGGAGGCAGTTTCAAAGACTGATGTGAAGCCTGAGTGGGAATGGGCAGGGTTCTATGGTATGGTTATCATGAAGCATTCATTGGCTTGACGGTTCTTTACAACTGCTAGGTGAGGTAGGTGGTCAAGACATGGATATAAAGCTGCATTTCTGAGTTCAAAAGCAGTAGGAAGGCTGCGAAACCTTTGACACTGCCAGACTGCGTTTGCATCATCTTTTTGACTTTTGAGGGCAGTTGATTCAGTTTGCATCCTTGAAATGGATCCCAGCTCTTCAGAGGTAAGTGCCTGTTGCAATGTGTTGCAGATGATGTTACAACAGAAATGTGACAAAAGGCAAGCAGCCATGAGTTCTGAATCCTGCTTTCAAAGATACCTTAAAAGACTTGCAAATCAAAAGAACTGCTCTAATGTCTATTTTAGACATCTTAAAAAGTGAAAGAATTCTAAGGTATTACAGACTTTAAAAAGTACTTAACAAAAATTTAGGTACTTTGTGGTTCTAATAGCTTGATTTATTTTTTAACTTTTTGAAAATTTCAAACATAATAAAGTGGAGAGAGGCAAGTTGCATGTACCCATCACCCAGATTCAACAATTATCAATTTGACAGTTTTGTTTTTTCTAAAACCCTAGCCGCTTCCCCACCCCACCTCATTCTGATCATTTTACAGCAAATCCCAGACATATTATTTCATATTTTACAATCTATAAATATTTCAATATGTATCTCAAAAAGATTAGGACTACCCTTTTAAAACTTAACCACAATACTATCACCACACTCCAAAAAAGTGGTTATATTTTCTTAATTCCTCTGATTATCTTATAATTTGCTTTTTTGTTCTTTAATTTTGTTATTTAGATTCCACATATAAGTGAAATCATAAGGTATTTGTTTTTCTCTGTTGACTTATTTCACTTAGCTTATAATAAATACCCTCTAGGTCCATCTGGGTTGTTGCAAATAGTAAGATTTCATTTTTTGCGGCTAAGTAATATTCCATTATATATATATGTACTACATCTTCTTTATCAGTCATCTATTGATGGGCTCTTAGGTTGCTTCCATATCTTGGCTGTTGTAAATAGCACTGCAGTGAACCTAGGGGTGCATATATATTTTCAAATTAGTATATTGGTTTTCTTCAGATAAATATCCTATAATTTGCTTTTTTAAGTTATTTTATTTGAATAAGGATCCAAACAAGTTCCATACAATTGTGTAGTTAATATGTCCCTTAAATCACTTTTAAATTCTTCTGTCCTTCCTTCCTCCCCTCTCATCCCTTCTCAATTGTTTTGTTTGAAAAATCCTCATCATTTGTTAAGTAGAGTTTCCAACAGTCTGGATTTTGCTGGTTGCATCTCCATACTTTTTGTTAGATTTGAAATATTTGTCATATGTATTTTATCTTTTAATGTCATAAAGTGAAGGTTTATGTATTGATATGCCACAGGAAATCAATAACCAAGTAGTGAATGTAGTTAAGCACAATAAAATGGTCTTTAGGTATGGCTAGACAGCAAAGGATAAAGTCTTTTGGTGTTCTATGGAATTTGTTCAGGACCCTGTATTGTGGGAAATATCAGCCACATGTAGACAGAACAGATTCAGGCTTGAATCTGTATTATAGTAGCTTGATGGCAGAAGGAGGTGTCACCTATTCATTCATCTTTTAGCAGACGTTGAATATATAGTAGATATAAAGCATGCATTAAAGAGCTCTATATGTCAAGTATCAAATGGTAAGCAAATATTCCTACCTTGGTCACTGACTTTTCTGACAAAAGACAGTGAAAGATGACAGCCGTGGGGGTATATGCTGTTCTTGAAAAGGCTCTAAATTGGTCTGCCCCTTCCTTCTACCTTTGCCCCTGGTTCTCCTCCTTCTCAACACCTTTCACTCTCTGGAACTTTTTTCATCATCATACACCTAATGCCTAGCACAGAGGCTGGCACTGTTTATATAACATCAGTTTATTAAGCTTACTGTACCCAGCACTGAGCCAGGTAGGCCCTCAGGCTGCCAAGCTAAATTAAAAAGGCATAGTCCCTATCCTCCTTGAGGAAGCCCAATCTGTGCAAATAATGGCACAAACATGTGAAATTGTAACAGTGACAACTGACAACTGTTACAAAGGAAAGAAGAACAGAGAATACCAGTAATTGGAGGTTTGACCTTGTTGGGAGGTCAGTGAAAGCTTCCCTGAGGGGCTGAGTCTAGAGGCTCGATTCCTGTAGCCCCTCATGCATTCCCTATAAAACTCTTCAGAAACTTATCACTCTTCCCAAGACCAACACTGCCTGTTGACAGATGACCTTGCCTACTCTTTGCAGAGAAAAAAGGGCACCTTCCCCTCCCTCCTATCTTACTTATGACTTATCTGTGAAGTTCCACCTCTTTTTCTCACCCAAAGCAAAGCTCTCCACCTGAGTTCCATGTCCCTTCTCTCCCAGTTCCTAGAACCTCCAGCCACCAGTCATCCTCTATTTCTTTGGGATCTCTAATCTCTTCTTTGGCATCTCTAATCTCTTCTTTGGCGTTTTCTTTGGCGTCTCTCAGCAAGCAAGTTTCTTCAACTTAAAACAATTTTCCTTTTGTCCTAATATCCACCCAAGTGAATGCTCTATGTTTTTTCCTTCTCTTAACAATAGACTTTTTATTCTATTTTTTGAAAAAAATCTTGGGGAGGGGCAAGTAATTAGATTTATTTTCCACGCAGCTTTATTGCCATAGAATTGATATGTGACATTGTGTGAGTTTAAGATGTACGTGATTTGATATGTGTATACATTGTGAAATGATTACCACAATAACGTTAATTAACATAGTTATCTTATTTTTAATTTATGTGGTGAGGCCTTTCAGATCTACTCTCTCAGCAGCTTTCAAGTGTGCAGTACAATAGTGTTAACTACAGTCACTGTGCTGCGTATTACATCCCCAGAAGTTGCTCATCTTATAACTGAAAGTTTCTACCCTTTGACCACCTTTGACCACCTTCACCATTTTCCACACCTCGCAGCCCCTGGCTCTCTGTTTCTATGAGTTCCATTTTAACAAGAGACTTTTAAAAACAGTAACCTACATTTGCTGTGTTCATTTTCTCAATTATCATTCCCTCCTCAACCCCTTATCATCTGACTTCTGCTTCTGCCATTTTATTTGAAACTGAAATTGGCTTATTGTCACCATTCTCTCCTAACTTTCAAATCCATTTTTTTTGTAGCTATAAACTCTCACCTCTTCTCAAAGCACATCTCCCTGTTCTTAGTTCTCTGTCCATCCTTAAACACTGCTGCTTGTCTCTTTCACACACCTCTCTTTATCTACCCCTTAAATATCCATGAGGTCAGAATTCTATCCCAGTACCTTTTTTCTTGTTTCTCTCACCTCCTTTGGCAAGCTTACCCTCTCCCAGGGCACCAAGCCTTGTCTACATGACTCTTGAATCCCTATCTCTTCCTTTCACCTTTCTCCTGAGCCCAAACCTAAAATTCCAACACCAGCACCTTTCTAGATATTTCCATGTAACTATCTACTATCCATATGTAATTACCTGCTATCTAAAATACTTCATATTTAAGATGGCCTAAAATGAAGTCCTTACTGCCCCAGTGTTGTCTTTTTTCTTATATACGTAAGTTTCAATTATTTATTGCTGCATAACAAACCAACCCAAACTTATGGCTTAAAACAGCAATAATTTATTATTTCTCATGATTCTGTGGACTCGGCTGAGGCTGTAGCCTCCAAGGCAGCCTCATTCACATGTCTGGGGCCTTGGTGCTGACTGTCAGCTGGTGCACTTCGCTTTTCCCCTGTGTAGCCTCTCTCACACTTGGTTTCTTAGTGCTGAGTAGTCAAGCTCAAGCTTCTTCACATGATGGCTGGCTTCCACAGGAGCAAAAGCAGATGCCCCCTAGCCTCAAGGCTTAGACCAGAATGGACTGGTACAATGTCATGTGTAGTACATTCATTCAGTCAAAGCAAATCACTAACCCAGCCCAGATTCAAGATGGGGAGAAACAGACTCCACCTCTTGATAGGTGGAGCAGCAGGCATTTAAAGGGATGGAAGGAATTATGGGAGCCATCTTTGCAGATAATCCACTGTGCTGTGTATCTGTAGTTTTGTTAATTCTTTTATAACATTCGCTATGTGCCAGACAATGGCTGAGCATTTACATGTATCACCTCATTCATTCTTCACAACATCCCCGTGACATAGGTACTACTATTATCCACATTTACCAGATGAAGAAATGAAGAGGTGAAGGTGTCTTGCTCGGGACTGAGAGTAAGTGGTGGAGCTAAGATTTGGATTGAGGCAGTCTGATTTCAGAGTCCAAGGTTTTAATACTGCCTGTCTGATCAAGATACCACCTCTGATTATGCTCCTGATACCATATCCATAGTGTTCCAAGCAGGAAATCACAGAGTTATCCACAGAGCCTCAGTGTTTCTCACTGGTCTGCCTAGTCTGCAAGTACTGTTATCTTTCTCTCCGCTGTGGTCCCTTTCTTCATGCCTTGTCCCCCTCCTCGTCATCTCCTGTATGTGCCCATCTGGTCCCCTACCTTTGTGATTTCCTGAATTCCCCCAGTGCTGCATGCCTTAGCCACTTATTGCCCTCAAATACAAGCTGATCACGTCACTTTACCTAAACTATTGGCTCCCTATTGTCTAATACTGCTCAGACTCCTTAGTTTGGATACCAAGCCCTTTACAACCTGTCCCCAGTGTGCCTTTCTAGCCTTATTTCCCACCATTGCCTTTACTCTGCCGTTACCCCAGCATACTATGCTCATTCATTTCTGTTCGTTCATGCTGCACTTACTTAATCAGCACTGACTATATGCTAGGCATTTTTATGGGTAATGGTGGTACAGTGATGAACACAGACAGCGATCCCTCAGAGCCTACAGGCTAAGTGAGGGATACAATTACAAGGTAGTGTGATATATACTATAATGGGAGAGATCTTAGGTGCTGTGATTACGTAAGGTTACTTAACCCAGACTAGGGGAATCAGGTGGGAGTGCAGGGTGTCTTTTAAGGAAATCTAAGCTGAATTCTAGAGAATGAGTTAGATCTAACCAGGTAAGGGAAAAAGCAGAGTTGTTTATTCATTTGTTTCCACAGACATTCATGGAGCACCAACTGTGTTCCAGGCACTGTTCTAGGTGTTTGAAATACAGCAGTAAACAAGACAGACAAAAATTCGCTAGCTTCATGGCTAGGAAGCTGGGAAAGTTCCAGTGTCTCTAGCAACA